CAAATAAATAAGATCGAACTCAAAGCATGAACCATGCCATGGCGTGGGCTGAGTCGGGCGTGACGAGGTCTCGGAGCAGCCACCAGATTAATAACTTCAAGCTTGGCCTGACACGCACTAGACCCAGCGGCTCGTCTCGTTACTTTTAAGTTATGGGCCGCAGCCATATTAAGCTAGATGGCGTGATTTGGATCTGTATTGCGAAATTAGTGGGGAGGCGCAGGCTGCATACACATATTGCTTATTGCTTGTGGAGTGTCTAAAAGCCTAAGGTTCTACATACAGTGTGAGACTACTGTGATTCCAAAGTGGAACAGGGACGTTGGAAAAGCTTTGTAAACAGGTTGCGTGAGCTCGGTCCAAGATACCAGGATCTTCGGGATCTGTGACGCAGTTCGAAGCAGCTGGAAACCCAGTGTGTTCCAGTGCCGATCAGGGTTTAGCTCCCTACGCTAACCGGGCACGAAATATACCTGGAAACCGCGCGTTAAAGTCTTGGTCAAAGTCTTGGAAACGGTAGGTCCAGGTGCACACGAGGCCAGAATAAGCTATTGTTGTTGAACCATGCAGAAGGGCGCGAATAGCGTAGAGTCACGGGAAACCCTTCGTAATCCGAGGGACTAAACCGATAGAGTAGGAGGCACCGACAAACCCAATCTCCCATTTTCCCGCTCCCTCCTATCAAGCGCGGACTGGGAGTTGTGTGGGTGGATACCGTTTTGATGGCAAAAAGAGCTAACGCGGACAGGGGACGCGGCAAGAAGACCCCACAATCATGTTTTCGTTCCTGCTGTCGGATGGAGAAAGGTATACGAGCGAGGCCAAGGAGAAGGCGACACGGAGCACAATGTGAACCCACTCGAAACGCAGCACCTCAGAGGTGAGCGGTCCTCCGTGGAGAAGGGACACAGTGAAAATAGAGGGTCGCAGGATAATTCGTAGCCAGTCGAAACGTGGAACTGGTCGAAATTTGCTCTTGCTGTCACCATCAGCACGGGCGATTTCACCATCGTCCAAGAATGTGATTGGTGGGTGGGACCCATGGCCGATCATCTACACGCCCGCGTGGATGTGGTGATTCGTCACCGCCGAGGCTTGGCGGGAAGCTTATGTCATGCTTCCCTGCATGCGTTTTTCCAGATTTCTTATGTAATGCACGTTTATCAGCTGCTACGTTGTCAGGGAAAGTGTCAAGAGCGGCATCTAGATCGAATTGCTCAATTGCATGGACATCGGAGCCCGTCTTTCACATTCAGGGACATCCAGGGCGGAGAGGAACCGCTCCGTGATCACTTAATCTATCGTACCTAATGTACCAGAATAATAAGATTGTATGAAGAATCGAGAACGGGCTCCACGCTCCTTCGTCATTTCACCATCCAGGCCCATCCACCGGTTCCACTCGGGGTTGTGGGATGGCTTGAGATCATCGGTGGGAACTTGCTGCGGACATTCTGTTCCCTACTGTTCTCTTTGCTTTTTCTCCCGTATTAATCCTTGAAGTTTCTCTGCTTCAAAAGCGACCTGTGCGTGTTTCTAACTGCAATTGACCAAAATCTGGGGAGTTCGATATTACGCCATCGACACCCGAATCACACCTTTACTCCACCATTTCATTCCACCAACAAACTGCCCCTTATCCGCCTTTTGAACCTTGACATCGCTCTCGTGTGGTCGACATGACTAGTGCGTGATCGTCTGACAGTTGACATTTATATTCTGGAAGCCGTCACCGCGTTTTGACGACCCGTCACTCGACTTTCTCACCTTCAATCTCCCCGGTACCCCCGGTCCACTTCCGTCACCGTTGCTTGCTTCGGTTGATACCTTTAATCCCTTCTATACACATCATGGGTGAAAAAGCCTCCAAGGTTGGTCATGGCCTGGCCAAGGGCCTTGGTATCAAGGTCGCCTACAGAGACCCCATGGGCCTTCCCAATGAACCCGTCACCAGAGGCGAGTCGACTTTTTCTGTCGGCACCGTCGATACCTGTGCCTACAACGAACCAGAGCCCAACAGCATCGATTGGCTCTGCGAGATTGCCCCGTCTGGCAAGCAGATGATTGACTATTGCGTTAATTTGTTTCCCTTCTTGACTTGGATCACCCGTTACAACTTGCAATGGCTTATGGGTGACTTGGTAGCTGGTATGTGACTAATGCATAATCTCATCAATAACCGTCATCTGACAATCTTTCCATAGGTATTACTGTTGGTGCCGTTGTCGTGCCCCAGGGTATGGCCTACGCTAAGTTGGCTGAGGTACCCGTGCAATATGGACTTTATTCTTCGTTCATGGGTGTTCTGGTTTACTGGTTCTTTGCAACTTCCAAGGATATTACTATTGGCCCTGTGGCCGTCATGTCTACCTTGACAGGTACTATCGTGCTTCAGGTTCAGGCCCAATACCCCGATTATCCCGCTCATATGATTGCCTCCACTCTTGCTGTTATCTTGGGTGGTATCGTTTGCTTTTTGGGTCTGATCCGTTTGGGTTTCATTGTGGATTTCATTCCGCTCCCAGCTATCTCTGCGTTCATGACGGGCTCTGCCATCAACATTGCCACCGGTCAGGTCAAAAACATGCTCGGCGAGAGCGCTGATTTCTCTACTCGTGATGCGACCTACCTGGTTATCATCAACACTCTGAAACATCTCCCTAGTGCGGATATCAATGCCGCTATGGGTATCACTGCATGTGCCATGTTGTACATCATCCGCTCTGGCTGCACCTACGCGGCTAAAAAATACCCGGCCAAGGCGAAGATCTGGTTCTTCGCCTCGACTCTCCGTACCGTGTTTGTCATTCTGTTCTACACCATGATTTCGGCAGCCGTGAACTTGCACCGCAAGGATAACCCATTGTTCAATTTGCTCGGTTCGGTGCCTCGAGGCTTCCAGGGCGCGGCTGTGCCGAAAATGGACAGCAAGATCATTAGCGCCTTCTCCAACCAGCTCCCAGCTGCCGTGATCGTTCTCTTGATTGAACATATTGCCATCTCTAAATCCTTTGGTCGTGTCAACAACTACACCATCAACCCTTCGCAGGAGTTCATCGGAATTGGTGTTACCAACTTGCTCGGTCCTTTCTTGGGTGGCTACCCCTCAACCGGATCCTTTTCCCGAACTGCCATCAAGTCTAAGGCCGGTGTCCGGACCCCGTTGGCTGGTTTGATCACCGCTCTCGTTGTGCTCCTGGCTATCTATGCCCTGACTGAGGTCTTCTATTATATCCCCGAGGCCTCCTTGGCCGGTGTCATTATCCACGCTGTGGGTGATCTGATTACTTCACCCAACACTGTCTACCAGTTCTGGCGTGTCTCCCCGCTTGATGTCTTGATCTTCTTCATTGGTGTCATCGTCACTGTTTTCTCTTCTATTGAGGATGGTATCTACTGCACCATCTGCGTGTCCCTTGCTGTACTGCTGTTCCGTGCTGCCAAGGCCCGGGGTCAATTCCTCGGCCGGGTTACAATTCACTCCGTGGTCGGCGATCACCTTTTGGACAACGACGGCAAATACGGCTCTCTCGGAACAAACCAGCACCCTCCCGATCACGACGAGCACCACCACCGCTCGATCTTCCTTCCCGTCAACCATGCCGATGGTTCCAATCCCGATATCGAGCTCGAGCAGCCCCACCCCGGTATATTCATCTACCGCTTCTCTGAGGGCTTCAACTACCCCAACGCCAACCACTACACCGACGCTCTGGTGCAAACAATCTTCAAAAGCACTCGCCGCACAAACCCGCATGCCTTCGCTCGTCGTGGCGATCGTCCCTGGAATGACCCGGGTCCACGCCCTGGCCGCGAGGCTGAGGAGACTGAAGACGACCGCCCGCTCCTGCAAGCCGTGATCCTGGATTTCTCCTCCGTCAACAACGTGGATACTACCTCCATCCAGAACCTGATTGATGTACGCAACCAATTGGATCTGTACGCTTCCCCCCGCACTGTGCAGTGGCACTTTGCCCACATCAACAACCGCTGGACCAAGCGGGCCCTCGCCGCCGGCGGCTTCGGTTTCCCTACCCCAACCTCCAGCGACGGTTTCCACCGCTGGAAACCCATTTTCAGTGTTGCCGAGATTGAGGGCAGTGCCTCCGCCGCCGCTCACGCTGAGATGATCAACAACCAGCGTGAACAGGCCCTCCACAAGCAGCAGGATCTCGAAGCCAACCTCCACAAGACCGGCTCGACGACTGAGCGCGAGACAGAAACTATCGAGTCTACCTCTTCCCAGGACAGTGGCATCGTCGCCGAGGACATGCAGCTGCAGCACGACCTGAAAGACAGCAAGGCCTACCGCGGTCGTCGCAAGGTCGCTCTGGTGCAGGGTATGAACAGACCCTTCTTCCACATCGACTTGACCAGTGCCCTGCAAAGTGCTGTTGCGAACTCGTCGGACGTGATCCCGGAGATCCACTAAATGTTCTCGATGATCTGTTTACTTGTGCATTTATCAACTTTCTTCTCATTGCATATTGTGTTGCATCGATAATGGACCATCCCTGGCTTGGAGTCCGTATGATATGCCCGGATTTATGACTCGTTAATCTTTTCCACCTCATTTCACCACTACTTATCTGCTATCTTCCCCGAAATACGCCTGGTTTTGATTTTCTGGTTATGATCTACCCCGGCGTTTGTTTGGATGGGAATATGGATGAATTACGGGACGACGGGCTTTTGCCTAGTTGCCCTCTTGAATGTTTACTAGGGATACCCTTTCGACTTGAAACAATAGATCGCGTTGATTATTTCAAATTGTGCCACTCGTAGTTTTCTAATCGTAGTATCATCATTTATCTTCACAACTACAAAGCTAAACTTACCTACCGGAATTCTCGATTTTGATCCGATATTTGTGATCAATATGTACGTACCATTGAACAACTAGGGGAAAAACCATCAAAGTGGTATCTATTCCACGACTCATATACAGGAACGAACCATCCCCATTAGGAAGTGATCAAATCAACTTTCAGTCCTCCAATCTAATCCAAAGAAACCAAAATCACCTCAAAACACCCCCCAACACCAGCCCACCCAAGCACAAATCCACTCAAAGCCTCAGAAACAACACCACCCCCAAACCACACATCCCTCCAAGCTCCCTTGCGAAGCACAAATCGTCTCCGGTCCTTCCTGCCCCCTAGATCCATGCTCACAACACCTGTCTTAGGATTCATCTCGATGCTACCATCGATCTCGCCTCCAGCACCGGGGAAGAAGGCGCCTGCTCCTGCGCCGCCAGAGCGCTTGATGAGTAGCAGGTGGAAGAGGCCGGATAGGAGGACTGTGCCGGTGAAGTAGAAGACGAAGCCTGCTGCAGATTGGAGGGCGAGGATTCCGGCGCTGAGGCCTAGGAGGAAGGCGCTTAAGCTGTGAATAGAAGAGAGGACCTGTGAGATATCAGTTTTGTTGTTCTTGCTTTTTGTATGGAGTGTTCAGTCTTGGAGAGATTGGACTGAGAGAGGTTATGTTGACGAGGATTGGATTGGGGTTGGAGGCAGTTGAGAGAGGGGTCTAACGTAACATACCCGGTTGTTATGCTGGACAGCCTCGGGAACAAGAGGATTGATAATCAGGGATAGTTCCTGCTTTGTAGGAGCCATTTTTGCGAGCTAGATTTTTCTCCGGAGGGAGATTTGTTCCTGGGATTCTTTTGTCTGTGTCGTGTTCTCGGATTCGGGAATGTGGTTGCTTGTGCTCGGGCAGATATGGGAGGGATGTGGCCTGAGATAGTAAAATGATATCCCACTTATCCAACCCAGCTAAAAGGTGCAGTATGGAGTGGCAATGGGTCTGTCCAAAGCTGGTGGGGAGAGATGGGGGTCGACGTGGAGAGACGAGGTCGGAGCGGAGGTTTGGCGCGGGTTTCTAGAAGGTGCACGGGCCACCAAGTACGATGTACGAAAGAGCGTAGAGTTCGAATCAAATAAACCATTGAGATTATATACCGGAAAACAATTGGAGAACAATGGAACAAAATCATGTTCATATCTACGATTACCCCAGCCATTTTCAATGTTCAGTAGCCCGAATTTCCCTCATGAATCCGTTTCTTGACATCACTGCGTTTGATACATGCCGAATCCCACATCCATCATCATATTAGGGTGAACCAAAAGATCACAGAACGAATGATAAAAATTGAAAAAGAATTGAAAAAAAGCACAATGGAATATAATTGCCAATTCCATGAAATCGCTGGGCATAGGCTCGATTTTGTTTTCCACAGGAAACTCGAAAATAGTCGCCATGCCATGCTTCATGCACAAAAGGCTGTCATCACATAATGTTCTCAAGCTTGCCATCAGTCTGAGCTTCTCTGACTTGCTCGAAAACCTAGAAGAACTAATTAGAATTTTTATTGTCAAGACCTGAAAAATGCAAAGACTTACCTTCAGCATCTTGTTGCGGGCACCCAGTGCATTGACGCCACGGTCTTCCAACGCCTTTTCATCAAGTTCAACCAATTCTGTCCACTTGAGATCCTTCAAATTGTCCGTGTACTTGTGCAACCGAAGGGATCGCAGCCAGCTGGGGATGTCCTTCAGAAGAGTCGGGTCCGTGGGGTCCTCTGGCGGCTTCGAGCTACCACGTCGACCACGGGGCGAGCGTCCACGGGTGACCTCGGAATGGTCAGACAGATAACCTTCACCACCAAGACCAAACTGTCCAATACCCAGAGAGCTTAATCCGTTACCCATCAGAGGGTTGTTCGGGTCGTAAGCTGCAAGGAATCCATTGTTCTGGGGCGAGGTGAAGCTCATGCCACCGAGTGCCCCGGCACCCTGCATCGCAATACCGGGAGACGTCGGACGAGACCGGCGACCCGCCATGGCAGCTTGCTGCTGGGCCTGCAGAGCGGCGAGTTGCTGCGCATTCAGGAACTGTCCGGCCATAGGATTGGACCCAGGCAGACCAGGGCTAGCCAAGCCTTGCGAAATGCCCTGATTGACAGTGTTCCGTCCTTGACCATCATTGGACCGGGACCGGCGGTATTTACGCGCATCATCGAGAGCAATTCGGTTGTTCACAGTGGACAAAGCGGCCAGCTTCATAGCTGTCGCATTTGCCACCATGTCAGCTTGGGAGTTGCCCTGGTTCTGCTGCTGACCAAAGGTGGCAGTCATTGGGGTGTTCGTCATCGACGCCCAGCTGTGGTTTCCAACATTGTATGGCGAAAGCAAAGGAGGCTCAATATCCGGGGCAGGAATGGTGGCGGTCTGAGGAAGAGGAGAGCGGAGGCCGGAGGCAGAGGGCTGGCTGAACTGACCCATGGGCTGGTGGCCCGACGATGACTTCGGCCGGGCAATGGGGGGCTGAGTGTCCGAAAGGCCACCACGCTGGGCCCACGGAGACGCTGGAGGCTGGCTCAGGCTGTCATTGTTGTCGGGCGCTGAAATGGTGGGGGCAACAAACGAAGTACGGTCACCGAAGACCAGACTGTTGCGATTCGAGGGAGGTGCATTGCCTGTTTGCTGGGTAAATTCCGCCTTCTTCTTCGCAATCGCAGCCGCGGCATCGGGAAACATGGCATTAATAGTAGAGGAATCGAGAGCCGAGTTACGCTTGGCGCCTGGAGATGGTGGGGGCCGGCCCATGGAGTTTCGTGATGTGTCCATGTTGAGTTTAGACATAGCATCACTTAAGCGACTAGACATGGCATCTAGAAATGGGAGCAAACGTTAGCTACATTACTTCTCCACGCGTAAATTGGAAATGATTGACATACCCTTCTCGCCGAAGTTGGCCGGAGAGAGAATCCCAGACATCGGGTGGCCCTGGGACATTTGCTGCAGAACCTGGATGAAGAAGCGAATCTGCACCTGGGTAGTTTGTTGCAGCAAAGCATATAAGGCGGCCGTCCGCTCCGCCTCACTCAGAACGCGGAACCATTGCTCGATAGCACTGAGCTCATCCTTGAAGTCCTGATCGAGCGTAGCGGCTGCCATCTCCTCCAGTGTGGTCTCGTTCTGGTCAATGTCCGCCAGCCACTGTTGAGCTGCCCGGTCCAGCGCATCTTCCGTCGAATTCTGACCCTGTTGGTTGAAGAAAACTTCCGAGGACGGACGCATACTGCGAGAAGACAGCGGCGAGGGGAATCCGGACATGTCGGCTGACGCTCGCAACTGGTGCGATCCGAGGTTTCGAGCGGACGATGGAGGACGCAAAGTGGAGTTCGGAGCGGCTTCCGGGGTGCTGTTGCGGTTTCCAATGATATGGCTGGCCATATCTACTGGGTTTGGGATTTCGATTGAAAGGTCTGAATAGTAAATACAGTGGGGTGGAAAAGATTACTGCAAAACACCTGCAGCACCTGCTGAGTTTGCGTAATGAAATAGAATCAAATATCCTGGACCGAAAGACTCCACGGAGATCCGCAAAGCCCAAATCTCGAGATTTAGGCGACAAGTAATGGGGCACAGACCAGTCCAGTGGGCTGCACCTCAGGAGGAAGCGGAAGCCAGAAAGACACCTGGAGATTTGCGATCGGTATTAGGTCCGAACGAAGGAAAGTCAGGACCAGGAAGGCAATAGTGTGTCAAACACAGCAAGCCCTGTTGGTCCCGGCGCCAAAAGAAAAGAAAAAAACGGGGATGAAAGGGGAGGAGAGGTCGAGAAAGAGATGGTGGAGAAGAGGAGAAAGAGAATTGCGGCAGAAAAAGCGAGTGTGTCTCGGTTTCAAGGCGATCACGGGTTCCCGCGAATTCTGGAATGGAAAGGGAAAACCAACTGGATTTGATTTCACTTTATCTTCCATAATATCCAATCCTCTTCATTCACTCTCCAAATTGCTTTTAGTCGACAAGGGTAGAGCTTTGGTGACTATGGACATTCGCCCCTGCGCTTGAATCGCCCGCGACAAGACCTCCGAGTGCGCACGCTTCGAGCTTCTATACGCGGTCTGGGCCATGGTCCCAGCGCTAGCCTAGGCTTGATCGCAACGCACTTGCCATAAATCGTGTGCCCGACCATTTAGTGGAAGGGAGAAAAAGACCTTAATTTTTCTCATTGATACGCCCTGGTTCTATGCATTAGTCATTCCCTCAGCGTCATTAGTCGCCATGGAAGACTCAGATACCCCCATGGGTCATTCGAATGACTATGCTGCCTATCCAGAAATCGATGAGGAGGTGCAGTACCCATGGCAAGGAGTTGAGAATCGACCATTCGTCCCCGAAGATGTCTTTGCTGCGGCAATTGATCCGCGACTCTTTGGAACCGCCCTGCCCTCTCAGGATGCAGCGCATGTTCCCCAGGCCCAAAATAAAGCTCAGTATCAGGCCCAAGAGTATGACTACAGTGACCTTTCTGAAGATAGCCAAGATGACACCCCGGATCCTCGAGGGTTGGACGAGGGAGATGATGACTCGGACTATGTGGCATACGAAGAAGACCTAAGCGAGAGGTATGTTTCTTCAACCATCAAAAACTCTCAGTGACTTACCGCATTTTCAGCAACGAAGAGCAGCCAGAAGATGATGATTCTGATTCTGATGCAAGACGTCGACGCCAACGTCGAGGTGGGGGACGCTTCTCAGGTCGTTGGGGAGCCCGCGGTGGAAAAGGTATCAAACGAGGTCCCCGTAAACCTCTGGAGCCTGGCCCAGAATTCAAGATATTGCACTCAGAAGCTACCGAAGCATTTATTGATGGCGACTACGATCGAGCTATGGATCGTGTGATGCGTGCAATCCAGAACAACCCCGAAATGTTCCCGGCTCATTCTTTGTTGTCCGAAATCTTCCTGGCCCAAGGCCAAAAGGATAAGGCTTTGGCGGCTCTCTTCAATGGCGCCCATACCCGACCCAAAGATTCTACCGTCTGGCTCAAGGTCGCTCGGCTTATCTTGCAGCGTGCTGGTGAAGACCGCAAAAGGGCATTACATGATGTCATCTACTGCTACAGCCGCGTGATTGAAATCGAGCCCAAGAACTACAATATTCGGTACCAGAGAGCCGCAATCTACCGTGAACTCATGTACAACGGCAGGGCAGCTGGTGAGTATGAGCGTATCTTGAGAGATCGGCCGCACAATGCGAGAGCCCTTCGACACTTGGCAGAAATCTACATCGACCTCAATGAAGTACCCAAAGCCATCGACCACTGGGTGCATAGCGTAGAGTTCTATCTGTCTCTCGATCCTCAGGAGACTCGTTTCAGTTGGTCTGAGGTCAACATCTATGTCGAGCTGTTTAGCATAACTGGACAACCTGTTCAAGGACTCCATGCCCTGAAGTCTGTTTCCAGATGGCTTTTGGGCCGCGGGGATGATGTGCTATGGGATGATTTCGAGGATGATGATCGAGAATGGGACTCCAACGATGCTCCTCGCCGTATCAAGACCAATGGGTATGTGCCTGGCCAATGGCCGATAGACTCATATGGACTTGGGCTGCCCCTAGAACTTCGCATCAAAATGGGGCTCTTTCGGCTCAAAATGGGCTACAAGCACCACCAAGAAGCTCTTCATCATTTTGAGTGGCTGAACCCAGATGATACTTCGGAAGGTGCCCGTATTTTCGATTTTGGTGATCTCTTCCGCGAAGTGGCAGACGCCTTGAAGGATAGCGGATTGCCAGAAGAAGCCTTTCGCTTTTATCTC